GGCCGCGCTGCTACAATCCCACTGTGGACGGGGTCTGAAAAGACGGGGCCTTGGATGATGGGTGCCAGGTAGAAGGGGGAGAGCTGCCCTCGGTGCCAGCCTGGACACGCTTTCCCGTATCGATGCTGCTTCTGCACGGGCAGTACACAAAGCCCCTCCCCCCGTCCACACCCCGCCCCACGCGTCCGCCAGCACGCCTGCGTGGCCCCCACTGCCGTCAGCCCGCCTTCCCTCTCCTCCCTCCTTTCCTCCATCCAGCCATCTCCGTCACTGCTCACTGAGGATCAGTGTCCCTCTCCTGCCCTCCCTCCCATTCCACCCACCTCGTTGCTCCCCGGACCCTCTGCCCAGAGCCTGGACTGGCCCCACAGCTCTCCTGCTCCAGGATCACTGTCTGCCCGTCCTTCTAAAAGAACTGTCCCAGAGATCCCTGTGGCCTCTGTCCATGCAGCCCTCGGCAGCTGGCCACCTGCCAGCTGTCCCCTCTGCCCTGGCCAAGGCCAACCAATGACCTCTTGGTTATCAAACCCCCTGGCTGGCACTGCCACCGCCTCTACCGGCCCCCACCTGCATCCCTGCCTGGCTTCCCTTCCAGGATGGCATGCTCGCTCTCTATGAATGCACATGCGTGTGCACACACACACACACACACACACACACTTTGCTTCCCTCTCAGCCCAGCCCTCCTCCTCTTCCCTTCAGAGTCCTCAGGGACACACACACAAGCCCTTGTCCCCTCTCCCTCCCCCCTCCATCCCTCTTGAGTCCCCTCCAGGAGCTCTGGTGCTCTATTCCTTCCCTCCCTGCCTCTCTCCTGGGCCTGGCAGTCTTCCCCACCACCCAACATCCCTCCAGCTCCCCGGAACCCAAACTGACCCAGCCATTTCCTCCTCCATCCAGGCCCTTTCGGCGTTGCCCCCTCGGACCCCCCCCAGGCCCCAGCACGCAGCCCCTCCCTCGCCTTGCACCTAGGTCTCATGAGTGGCCAAGTAGAAGCATCCCTCGCCTGCAGTCCCTGGTGTCCACTCCTGGTCCTTCTCGGTGCCTGGCCGCTCGGGCTCTGACCGCCTCCCTGGAGAAGCCTCAAGCCACCTCCCAGCCTCCAGCCTCGTCCTTCTCAACACCCAGGGCCACAAATCCACCCAACTAGATTCCCACCTTCGGAGGCCTTGCCTATCACACCAGTAGTGCTGAGACTCTCATGAAGACTTCCTGGCTGCACACATTCTAGGGTGCAAGCACACCTCCCCACACGCGGCAGCCTCTCTGACCCCTTCCGCGGGTGGCCGGGAGCCTAGCGCCACGCACGCCCCCCGGCCTGCACCCTGGTTCCGTTTCACATCCCCCTTCATGGCTCCTTAAGGTCGGGACGGTGCACTGCTCATCTCTGTGACGGCTGCACTCTGCGCGGCAGCTTCATCAGAAGGATGGAGGGAAAGTGGCCTTCACCCTGTTCTCCAGGACAAAGTGGCCAAACCCAATGGTCTTCTCAGGGGGGGGCACCCCGGGAGCCCACCCCCCCTGTGCCCGCATCCTCCATCCTCCACTCCCTCCTGTCAGCGCCTCTCTCCTCTCTGCCATGGCCATGTGTGGTCTCCCGGGCTCCTGGGGAACCTGTGGCCCCAGGACAGGACATCAGAGGGTCTCACGCCAGAGGACAAGATAGGGGTGGATTTCTGGTCTCCCTGCTGGTCAGGCGTCTCATCCCCCATGACAAGGCTGCAGTGTGACATCTGGTCGTCCTGGCTTTGGGGGTTCAGGCAGATGCTGGTCTCAGACCCTAACACTTTCCCAGGGCTGCCTGCTGCTGTATCTCCTTGACCTCCCATGTATGTAGGAGGGGAAGAGGCGTGGTGGGGTGTGACGTGGGGTGCAGCGCGGGGTGTGGCCTGTGGCCCTCGAGGCCACGGATCCACGAGCGCTCTGCAGGGTGCCTCCTTGTAGTGCATCCTCCAAGGAACCCCTTCCATATCACCCCGAAGCTCGCCAAGGGAACGACTTTCCATGTGTGTGTGACCGTCCGCCACCCACTGTGCCCACCCGAGCAGACAGTTAACGGAACCGCACTCACGACTTCCACATCGGAGCCGGGGATAAGACTACGCATCCCAGGATGGTCCCGGTTCGTGAGCCTCCTGATTCTGCAGCCCAAGTGCAGTCTGCTTTGTGCAAAGCAGAAGAGAAGGCGCAACCCTCATGTGCTGAGCAAGCCAGTATGCAGTTCCCACGGAGGAAATGGGATGGGAGCGGGGGGGGGGGGATGCAGAGCTAGAAACCACAGGAAGCCCCCACTGGCCAAGTGAGGTGAAGGGGCGTGGCCACTGCTCAGCAGGCGCACACAGTACCCACGCAAGAGAGGAGTGTCCATGCGAGACTGCGATGCTGAGGGGCGGGTCAGGTGGAGTGCACCTGCAGCGCCAGCCTCTGGAAGGGTGAAGTGGAAGATCTGTTCCCTGTCTGCACACTGACTCCAAAGCTTGTGTTCCCCACGCCTGGCAGCGTGTCCCTCTGACAGAGGTGCCCAAGGCTTCCCTGTCGGGTGATGCTGCTTGGGCAGAATCCACACCCCGTGTCACCTTCTGCGGTGTCACCGCTCTAGCAGAGCGCTGGGGCCTCGGCGTGACCGGTGTGGCTCAGCCCTGCCTCCTCTGCACCCCCGCCCGCACTCTGCCTCACACCCTCAGACTTCCTCAGAGAATCGTAGGGTGTTTAAGCTGGAGAGTCACTTCATAGTGGCTCTGACACATCACAGTGCAGATCTGATTAAATAAATGACCTGTGTCCTGCGATGCATGTCCCACCTTACCAGGCTGGTGCTGATCACTCACCTGACACCAGGCTGAGAGCTCCAATCTGCCAGTGGGTGTGTCGCCTTCAACTAGGAAACCACACGATGTAGCACCCAGTCAGCGGGAGCCACCGCCGAGCAGCACGGGCAGCGCACGCACGGAACCGGAAGGGTGGGCAGCCCCTGCACGGGCTTTCAGCCATGACCACCACGGTCTGACCGAATGCACCATCGTCTTCCTCTCCGGCAATCTACATCCAGGGCAGAGACAATCCCCGGTCCTGGATATTAGAGAAAGACCGCTATCGTGGGACTCTGGTACCAACAATGGACTCCTCACGGCCATGACAAAGGAAAGTCCTCACGGTGCCCAGGAGAGCAGGCCAGCAGTAGACGTGGCATCCCGCAAAGGCAGAGACCAGCGTCTGGGGTCAGCAGAGGAGAGGGGTGTGGCCTTCACCAGCTCTCTCCCCTCCCCCCCAGCCCGTGGGCCTCTCCCTGCTCTGGGGCCTCGCTCTGCCTGCCCCCCTGCTCTCTGTGAAGAGTGCTGGCCAGAACCCTGGATGTGGCTGTGCCCTCACTTCAGCCTGGCCCTGGCCCGGCTTCTGTGCTTCGCAGCTACGTGGTGGGGGCCATTCCTTCTCATCTTCAAGCCTCCGTGTCCCCTTGGTAACCAGGATGACACAGTGCTGTGGGACCCCTGGAGCTGAGGAGAGGGAGGCCAGGCTGGGCACACCAGCTCTGATGTGTGCAGCACCCAACACACACCCGGCCTTGAGTTAATCACCCCACACCGCCCGGGCACTGGGATCAAAACTGGAGGTTCCAAATGCTTAAACTCTGTGTCCTGAACTCACCCCGGAGAGCCTGGCTGCTGCCGCTCTGCTGTTGACAGTCTTGTGTTGGGGACCGCCGGTAACAGCCAGGAGTTGGGCTGGACAGGACCAAGTTCAGTCAGTAACTACTGAGTCTTCTGTGTATGTGTCTGTAGTGTGTGTGTCTGTATGTGCGTGGTATGTGTGTCTGTGTATCTGTGGTTTGAACTCAAGGCCTCATGCTTTTCTAGGTTGGTGTTCTACCGCTTGAGCCACACCCCGCCCTGATTTTCATCAGCCTACTTTGGAATTCCCATAGTTGCTGGTCACAGGCATGCCAGCCTTTCCAGCCTCACTCTGTGGTGATGGAGTCTCATGGACTTTGGAGACTGGCTGGCCTGACACGGTGATCCTCCCAAGCCCAGCCTCCCACCCAGCTTGGATGACCCCATTGAGCCTAGCTAGGAGTTGAGAACTTTTCCGCCTGGACTGGCCTCAAACCCCCATCCTCCAATTCTCGGCCTCCAAGTAGCTAGGATTTGAGGTGGGAGTCATGGACACCAGCTCCACTTTTGCCTTGGAATGTACATAATCTGCTTCCCAGCCCTGCCTTGCCTGTAAATAATGCTAGGGAAACAGACACAGCGGCCACCTCTGCTCCCTGGGTTTTCCATCGCTCACGGAATGACTCTTTGGTTTTAAACCATGCCTGCTGCCTTAACGACGCTTTAAGAAACACACACATAGGAATTCATAATGCTGCATTCGCTGTGGCTGAAACCGCTTTGATCTGCCCCAGTTTCACACAAAGCACAACTGTTGCAAAAAATACCTGAACTTCACCATCGTGGGGCCTTTGAAGAGATTGTTAGGTGTGTAGCAATTATCCAGGGGCCACGTTAAGTCTCGTCCCAACTCTGCCACAAAGCCCGGCTCCACAAAGGCCCAGCGGAGGAGAGCTAAATAAATGGCATGGCAGGGGCCTGCACTAAAACCAGTGTTCTCATGATAAGCAAACCTGAATAAGCAAGTAGACTGTGATTAAAACTGTGGCCCAGTTCCCATCACTGGGCAGAACACAGCTGGTTTATCTCAAACCAGACTGCAGCGCAGCTCACAGTCCTGGGGCAGAAATGTGCATCAGTCAAAGAAGGCCCACGGGTGGGGGGAGGGTGTGGGGAGGGGGGAGGGGGAGCTGTGCCCCTGCCCTGCACCAGGGCGGTTCTGAGCAGCAAAGCCTGTGTCTGCTCACAGCCAGCAGTACGGGCCCAGCCCTGAAGCCCTGCCATCCCAGGGCCGTCCCAGGACGCCCAGTGACAGGTAGAGCAAACGTCCGTCCGCTCAGGGGGAATGTCGTTCACCTGGCAGGGCTGCTCTCTCTCCTCTCCTCCCTGCAGGTGGCTCAACAGCTTCAGCCCTCCGTGGTGTGGATCGAAGACACAGAGAAAACATTCTACAAAAAAGTCCCGAACGCGGAAAAGATGGTGAGGATCCCTCCATCCTCTCACTTCTCCTCCGGCCCTGGCCTTCCTCCCCAGGGAGGGGCGGTGGTGGTGTCCAGGAACTCCCCCCACGTTTCAGGGAATCTGCCACTTCAAGAGAGGCAGACGTGGGGTGGCGGCTGTCTCTACCCTCAGTGCTCTTCAGTGTTTGAAGGGATCCAGGGGTCTGGTTTATGAGCTATCATTTAGGAGAAGATGATGGAAAATGGGGAGATGGGAGGAGGGAGCTGTTGTTTTTTTTTTAACCCAAACCCATATGTTGAGGAAAGGAACACGTTGAAGAACTCCCGCTAGTTACAGCCAGTGGCACACACAGGGGTTATTATTAGGCTTTCCTATTGTTCCTAATAATAAATAGCACAACGCCTGAAATTTATGAACAAAGATCGTCAACAGCATTGCTAAGTGGCTGGCATTCAGGGGGCCCCCAGGGAGCCCAGGGCCAATTGCTTCCTTCCTCCTTTTCTCTCCTGTCGCCGGCTCCCCTCCCCCGCACTTCCCACCCACAAATCACCAGCAAATTTCCCACAAGTTAAAAAAAAATTCAGATACACATGATTGTTATTCCACATCAATTTGCACCAAAGCAAATAGTGGTTAACTGTGAATTTCTGATTAAATTCCTAAGGATTTTAATCACTTTTGAACCTTATGTATTATACATCATTTTTAGAAGGTTAGAGATGATTTGGATAAAGAATGAAAGCTCTTTTTTTTTTTTTTTCCTCTTCTCCAAATGAGCTTTGATTGCCCTGTCATTTCAGGAACTCTTTAGAAGTTTATTATTTAATCTGGGAAAGCAGCTGTTAGCTCCCCCTGCTGGACACCGAAGGAGAAAGTCCACACCAATGAAAAACACATTGCAGGAACCATTGAACCAGACCGTCCATACTGGGCTGGGCTGAATCCTCCTGAACCACCAGGGAGTTGGGGTCCCTGAGGGGCAGGGGCCACTCAGCCGGGTGGGGGATGGGAAGATGCGGGCTTGGACCTGGGGAGCAAAGGCTTTTTTCAGGATTGCTCTGCCTCTCAACTTAGCCAACCGTGTGTCCTTGAGCAAGTAACGTAAGTTCTCTGCGCAACCACTTCTTTAACTGCCGAGTTAAAAGGTGCCAGCCAGACCAGGCCCCTTGTTCTGAGGCCTCTCTTTCTCTCTCCCTCTCAACCTCCTCTCCTAACAACCTCCTTGAGCTGTAGATGGGCTGTCAACCATCACAACCGCTCACCTGTACCATGGTCCACAGCCAATCGGCGGAAGGTAACATGTTCACTAAGAGGAAACCGGCAGGTGCTGGAGTCAGGGCGGGAATGAGACGTGGGATGTTTTTTAAAGACTGGAAGGCAGGAGTTGGTGTGAAGGCAGGAGGGGGCGTCCCACAGAGCCACGTCTCCAGAAGCCCGGCTGTGTGGCCCTCTGGTGTGGACAGACTCTTCCCTCTCACCCGGCTGCCCAGGGCCTGGCCAATTCATCCTGCAGTGGAGGAAGGCCCTGGCAGACACGGGCCTTGTGGTGAATCAGACATTTTCCCGGAACACTTCTGGGTTAGGCGGTCTGTCGGCTGTCAGGTGTTTGCTGCACCGAAGAGCACGCACTGCATCCTGGGATAAGTCCCAGCGCCTCCCAACCCCCAAGGAATGAAAGCACACACGGTCCTGAGCCACCCCGGCTTAGACCAGGAACCAACTCCACAGGGAGCTCAGGACTCCAGGGCTGTGGCCCAGCCCACTCCATCCTTCCCAGCCTCTCCACCTCCTACACTTGCCTTTCTTCAGCCACCAGGCCCCTGGCAGCCACAGCAGTGGTTGTTGGATCCTCCGAGCTTCTCAGAGAGAGGGGGGCGCCCATCAGCCTCCGGGCAGCCCCTCCACCAACCCTGCGCTGCACTACAGGGACAGCTGGAACCCAGCATCCTTTCTTCCTCTGCACCAGCCGCTGTCCCGAACAGACCCCAGAGGCCCAGAGAGGCCTGTCCACCTGCAAAGGAGCCAGGAAGCAGGGCTGGCCTGTCGCCTCCCGAGCCAGCACAAGCAGCAAGGCCAGGCTGGCCCTGGAGCAGCTTTGAGGGATTCCCAGGACTTCCCTCACAGAAACCCCATCCCCATGGACCGGCCTCCCGGGCCCCCTGGGCCCCTGTCTCTGGTTAGGGACGCTCCAAGGTAAGATGCAAGAAGCTCGCCTGGCCAAAGCCATGAGGCGGTGGAGAAGGCCACGGACCCCAACGTGGAGACTGTCAGGAGGCCACGGGCCCCTGGGTGCTTGGAGCCTGTCGGGAGACTCCCGGAGTGCAGGGACCGAGCCTGAGCGTCGCGCTGCTGCAGGCAGGAGGCGGAGAGCAGTGCCCGTGTCCGGACGGCGCCCAGCGGGCGGGCGAGGGGGGCACGGTGTGCTGGCTCCCGGGGGACGTCCCGCGGTGCCACGCAGGGCGGAGGCCTCGCCCTTCCCCGGCCCCGCCTGGCAGGAAGACTCGGGAACCGACCCTTCTTGCCCCTCTGATGTCCCCCCTCCTTCAGGCACCTGTGGGGACCTTTTAGAGCCAAAGGTGCATGGCTCTCACCCTCCCTCCCTCCCCCCACTTACTCCTGCCCACTCCACACCACTCCAACAGCTCTAGAGAAGCCTGGATGCTTCTGGAACTCCAGACAAGTCCAGGGGTGGGAGTGCTCACCCTGCCACCTCTGCAGACACAGCCCTGTGCTGGCTGGTGGAGGCCTGGACGGTGCCCTGGCCCTGGGGAGGGGAGCCGACTGCAGCCAGGCAGCTATCGTGTCGGCGGCCCAGGCGGGCAGAATGAGACCCGGCAGCCATTCCAGCCTCTCTGCACAGTTTCCCCTGGTTACTTCCAGCCCGGGCTCCCTGGCGTCACCACAGCGCCCCAGGGAAGCAAGCGCCGGCTTTGTTGGGGGCTGTGGAGCTGACCGCAGCCACGCAAGCTGAAATCGCCACACAGAGGCCAGCCACGGATCTGATCTGAAATGCCTGCGCTCCTGGAGCAGAGGGGGGGGCCGCAGAGGTGGGGGGACCATGGGGGGGTACGCAGGTCTCCCCCACAGAGGTGGGGGGGAGTATGGGGAGGGCACGCAGGTCTCCCGCCGAGGACAGCTCTGACCACAGCCACGGCAGCAGGCAGCCCAGATGCAGAGAAGCTCTCATTTCCAACGCTGCTAATGGGACCGCACCTCACCCACAGCGACAGTGCCCTTCCCCACGCAACCCAGGATCAACATTTGTCATCCAAATAGGCTAATTAATTTCAGGGGTCCCTGCCATTCCAGGATATGCAAGTAGTAATGTTGCCTCCTGCCTAAGGAGTTGTACCACATCACCATAGCAACTGGGCTGCAGAAGAGAGGCTCAGACCTGGCAGACGAGCCCCCACCCCCAGGAAGTCTGTCTCCGACCTCCAGGATCCTCAGAGGGGCCTGCTTCCCTGAGACCCCGGGAACCGACAGGCACACCCACAGGCCCCACCGCTCCCAGGCCGCTCGCTGGACGAACTGCTCTCACCATTCACCCTGGACATAAAAGTGCAAGACATCACTGAAAAAATAAGTATATTTCATTTTCAGCTAAGCTGTGTATGTACATACATACACACATTATGGAGAAATGTGAAAGCTCTCAATAAATGGAAAGACATTTTTGCATTCGTGGTTTGAAAGGCTTAATAACCGCTGACAGTCATCTCCAACTGGCAGACCCAATGCCATCTCCATACGCATTCTAATACCCCACTTGCAGAAATTGATAGCCTGACCCTAAAGTTCCTATGGAAATTCAAAGGCCACAAGCAAAACAATCTTTGAAAGAAACATGGCATTGGAAGAAAGTCTCCTCCATCTCCACCCATTTTCTTCCCAGCCAACTTATAACAAGGTTGCAATGATGCTGACCATAGTACCCTGACACAAGGAGGAGACACAAGTCAATGACACAGAACTGAGTCCAGGAGTAAGCCTGCCCTTCTGAGGGCAACTGACTCAAGAAAGGTGCCAAGCCAACGAAAGGCGGAAGTGATCATTTCACAGACATCTGCAAAAGAACAAAAAAGACCCCTACCTCACACTGTATAGAAAAAATTAACTCACGGTGCATCTACCCCGACAAGCCATAAACCTTTGTGTGGGCGTGAATCTTTGTGATCTTGAATGAGGCCATGATTTCTTAGGTGTGACACCAAAAACCACGAACCACAAAAAGAACATGTACGCCTCGTCCAAATGAAAGGTGCTTTTACTGCAAAAATGTCATCCACGAAATAAAATGCAGCAGCCAACACTGAAACCGGTGCGTCTGCCCGGTGGAGACGGGGCCAGCGGAGACGGGGCCGGCAGAGATGGGGCCGGCGGAGATGGACAGGAAATTCCGGGCGATCGCCCAGGTGTGCAGAAGTGGAGGTGAGGCCTTCACTAAAGCAGGTGACCCTTCCACATGCGCGTGCCGCCAAAGGAAGACACCAAGATGGCACTCTCCAGAAGTTCCTTGCTGTCCTGCCGCGAGGCCCCTGTTGGTCGGACCTCGGATCCCCCTCTGCTCAGGTCTCCTGCCTCGCCCCCTCCCTGCACCTCTCTGGTGCTCCCGCCACCTGCCAACTGCCTCTCTACCCTGGGGTCTTTGCACTTGCTGTCGTCTGCCGGAATTCTCCCCACTCATATCTCTGCTCGAATGCCACCTGAGCACGCTTGCTCTGGATGGTTTGGGGAGCTGGTGGTGGAAAGGTGAGGCGGTCAGCGATAAAGAGGGAGTCCGCCTCAGAAAGGGCAAACTATTGGGATCACAAGAGCAAGGAATGAAGACCAGTGGGCTTGGGGAGAATCAGTAACTCAATAGGCATTGATTGGGCACCATCTGAATACCAGAAACACCGGCCCAACCTCTTTTCTGATCTTGTCCTTCAATTCCCTTATTTCTGAGTCTCCTCTCTTCCTCTTCCCTCTGCCCAACGGGCCAGAGCACATCCAAAGAAGAGTGCATTTCCACATCTCTCTTTCAAGGCACAAGAAGCTAAACAAAAGAAAATGAAAACTAACAAGGATGTGCCATGCCAATTCACAGGATGGAGCAGATATGTACATACCAGGTCCTGGTCATGGGACTTTTATCTAAACTGCAACAACTCAGTATTAAAAAGACAACCCAGTTTTATTAATGGACCAAGGATCTAAATGCATACTTTCTTCAAAGAAGCCATTCCTACGAGGTAGTAAGCTCAGGGAATTATATCAAATATCAGCCAACCGGCCAAATGGGAGCAAAGATCACCAGGACGATGCTGGGTATCTGACCCTCACCCCCACATTCTCTCCATGTTTCCCCTGTCTGAGCCGGGCAGGCTTCATTAGAGCCAGCTGAGTCCCCCTGGGGTGAACAGACCGGTGGGAAGCAGCCCCTTCCCTCCTCATGACAGAAGTGACAGAACTATCCCCAAGCACTGGGAGGGACGGGTTTCAGGACCACGAGACCAGGTGTTTTGGACCCCGGGTCCTCATGGTTCTGCCTTCAGCAAAGGGAATCCTCAGGCCTTCCACGCGGAGACCAGCCTCGGGTTCCTTCTGAGCTCCCTCGGGTGATTCCTCCCTTCTCCTATCGCAGGGCCAAACACCAGAGGCGGAGGTCAGGAAATGCCAATGATTACAACCCCCCTGGCTAGGAAGCGCATCCGAGCCTGGGAGTGCACTCACCACATGGTTCGGGTCTGGGCGCGTTTCCTTTCCTTTCCAGATCTTTCTCCTCCATGTGGGCTGATGTTCCCCCTCTCTTCCTCTCAGAATGAACCCAAACGCCTGAAGAAGCAGCTCCCCAAATTCCTGAAGCTCCTGAAGCCCGACGACAGGATCCTCATTGTGGGGACCACGCAGCGCCCTTTCGACGCCGAACTCCAATCGTTCTGCAAGGTTTACCAGAAAATTATTCTGATCCCCAGGCCAGACTACGCTTCCAGATACGGCAAGTGTCCTGGGGCCTTCCTGGGGCAGCGTGCGCGGGGAGGGATAGCCCAGGCTGGACATGAGCATTTCTGGGGTAACCCCCCCAGAAATGTGAAGGGAAATATTGGCTCTGTTGACACGTTTTCTTTGCCCAAGATGAACGAGAACTGGGCGGGGTTAGCATATTGGGCCCATGGAGGGTGGCTCTGCTGAGCCAGGCTCCGCACCCAGGCGCGCTGCTGGCTTCTGCATGGGGTCTCACGTTTTTTCCTCAAGCTGCTCTCAGACCATGCCTCCCACACAGCTGGGATTACAGACACACAGACGTCCACCACCACAAGTGGTCCAATGTGACAAGATCCTGCTAACTTGTTTGCCCAAGGTGGCTTCAAATCACTGTCTCCCTGTCTCCACTTCCCACTGGGGTTACAGGCATGAGTCACTGTGGCAGTCCTGACAGTTCTTTTGACACCTAGATGAGCATCACTCATTTTGTGCCACAGGACAGTACTGGAGCACCATGATAGAGGGTGCTGGACAGCGAAGGAGCACAGTGATAGATGACAGAGGGTGCTTGGACAGCGATGGAGCACAGTGATAGATGACAGAGGATGCTTGGACAGTGATAGAGCACAGTGATAGATGACAGAAGGTGCTTGGACAGCAATGGAGCACAGTGATAGATGACAGAGGGTGCTTGGACAGCGATGGAGCACAGTGATAGATGACAGAGGGTGCTTGGACAGCGATGGAGCACAGTGATAGATGACGGAGGGTGCTTGGACAGCGATAGAGCACAGTGATAGATGACAGAGGGTGCTTGGACAGTGATGGAGCACAGTGATAGATGACGGAGGGTGCTTGGACAGCGATGGAGCACAGTGATAGATGACGGAGGGTGCTTGGACAGCGATGGAGCACAGTGATATATGACAGAGGGTGCTTGGACAGCCATGGAGCACAGTGATAGATGACAGAGGGTGCTTGGACAGCGATGGAGCACAGTGATAGATGACGGAGGGTGCTTGGACAGCGATGGAGCACAGTGATAGATGACGGAGGGTGCTTGGACAGCGATGGAGCACAGTGATAGATGACAGAGGGTGCTTGGACAGCGATGGAGCACAGTGATAGATGACAGAGGGTGCTTGGACAGCGATGGCGCATGGTAATAGCGCACCATTTGGAGCACTGTTTTTCTTCACCAGGCTGACCTGAGCCCCATGTTCTCAGCTCTGAAACAGGAAGTGGGGTCCATGTAACTCTCTAATCCCGTCTGCTCCACAGGGCTGTTGTGGTCCTCTGACACAATTGTGTTCAGAATTCCCAGCTCCAGCTCCACACTGGCCCCCAGGAGGATACGAGAGTTGGCAACGTGGGGGAGGTGAAGGAAGCAGACAGTGGTGTGGCCGCCTTGAGAAGTGAATGACAGGGCAATGAATGGCTGCTGACCACATCTGTGTTACTTGTGGCCGCACCGCTCTCTCTGGCGGAGCAGTGTGGAGGAGCTGAGCGGAGCATAGTCCTTGTAGAGTCACACGGTGCGGATGTCAGCTGGGGCTGCAGTCTCCTGAGGCCTGACAGGGCAGGGCGTGGAGGGAGCTCACATGGGTGGCCATCGGGGAAGCGGAGCGTGGCTATGGACCGCTCAGCCCACACATGCCACACAGCTCTGCACTGGCAGCGGGGCTCTGAGAGGAAGCGCCTCCTGTGCACACAGAAGCCTCGAGTTTCAGGCTGAAAAGATTCTTGTGATCCAGCCACACAGCGTCACCGTCACCCCTCCCTGAGGTCAAGGGAAGACACGGGGTCAGCCATCTTCAAAGACAGCTGAGGCCACCGCGTGGGAATGCCACGAGCGTGGCTCCTGCAGGACCCTTGCAGGCCCACACTGGTGGTGGTAGTGATGGGGGGTTGGGTATGGCAGAGGTGGGGAGACATGGTAGCCGCTTGGAGATGGCGGTAGAAGTGGCGTGGCGGTGGGGGCAGTGTGGGGGGCCGCGTGGGGGTGACAGTGTGGACACTGGCAGCAGTGGTGGAGGCTGCCCGTGGGGGTGATGAGAGGGACAGTGGTGGTTCTGTGGCAGTCGTGGTTATTACTGCTGGTGGCAATGCAAACCACTAGGTCAGTCTTGGATTCTAGTGATCCTTCAACCACAATGGCCCACCCACACCAAAGGGATACATGTTCTTGCGTTCCTCGTCAGTGTTACTCGGAGAGAGAACAGCCCTCCACCCCCCCACACACTGCATGCCACCAGCTTATCACCAGCTCTGCCTGCGATGTGTGCCTACTCCATCCTGATCAACTGTGCTCTTGGCTTGGGAAATGAGTGCCCTACAGTAAGCACAGGAGGTCCCATTAAGTCCATCTATCCAGAGCCTGACCACAGTGTGGCCCAACCACACAGCCCACCCTAGGTTCTGTGCAGTCAGCCAGTGAAGGAAGGAGGTTTGGAGCATGTCATAGGTGATCTTAGGAATGAGACCTACAAGAACTAACACTTGTGCTGCCTAAGTCACAGTGACCATGAGAGCCAGACCACTGCTCCCAGCTGAGGGGCCAATGATGGTGAACTAGGATGACAACAAAGCAATGGGGGGGCGTGACAAGATGGTACAGGGGTGGGGGCAGGGGGGGGAGCGTGCAGGGAGGCAGCAGCGCCTGGCAGGGCCACTGCCTCTCACTGAGGATGCCGCTTCCCTGGCCCTGGCAGACATTCCCATGCTCATTCTCATGCACCATTCTCGCTCTCCCTCTCCCTCCCTCCGCCATTCTTTTTTACTGCACATCTTTTAAGTGACTTTTATGAAGTGAGGTAAGATGTTATTAATTTGAAGAGGCTAGAGTATTACTCTTGACTCTGGGCTGAGAGGTTTCTATTCTTTGATGGAACTTTCAGCCCTTTCGAGATGAAGCAATTGACGTGGGCTATTTTGTTCTCTTGATAAATGCCGGGCACTTTAAAGACTCAAGTTGTATGACAGATTCCTTCCTGGGCCTCGGTCCTGTGTCGCATCATCCTGGGAGAGGAAGGAGAGAGCAGCCCTGTTCCTGTGGGCAGCTGAGGAACTGGCAGGCGTCACCTCTCATCAGCCGAAGGCCCTGTCCGGACATTTTTTTTGGGGGGGGGGCCTGCTGGTGTTGATTTGTCCAAGCAGCCATTCTTGCTAACATGGTAAATGCTATCCAGCCTTCCTGCAGTCACCTTGACGCTTTCTTAGCCACAGGGGCTGGGCATCCATCTTAAAGAAGGACCACTCCTGCCTGGTGGTGATCAGAAGCAGTCTATTCTGGCCCATCACTGAGGGGGTAGTAGATCCACGGCTCTGCCAGCAGCAGAGGTCCGGAGGTGTGTGGACACGTCCATGATCCCACTCATCCCACTCATCACACACCTCCCGGCCGGGCAGGGGAGTGACCGCTGAGGCCAGGGCCCCAGCCCCGGCACCCTCCTTACCCCACCCGCCTTACCCCACCTGACTCCTGCCCTCCTCCCTCCTGGCCTCCCAATCAAGCAAAGAAAATCGCACGCACGCACACACATATACACAAACACACATCTACACACACATGAGCACACACATGCACACACGCACACACATATACACACACGTGAGCACACGCACACGTGCACGCATGCACATACACACGCACACACACGCCTGCACGCGCACACGCACACCAGGCGGGCTGATGCCCTGTCTGCTGCCCGGCCTCCTCCCCGCGGTCCTGACGCCCCTCTGCTGGCCTCTCCTCCTGGAGTCTGTCCGGCAATCACCCAAGGGCCCAGAACCATCTGGAACTGGAGGCTGCCGAGGGTCAACATGACCAGATGGGACTACTCACCTCTCCCCCCGGGCACAGCGATCGCGAGCCCACGTCGCCGGAGCTCCCGCGGCGACCGAGAAGCCGAGGCGAGGGCAGGAAAGAGAACGGGGAGCAGTGGAGCACACGGGGCCTCCCCATCCGAGGGAGCCTCACGGCCGGGGCACGCGTGTCCGGGCAGCATCTCCCCGCGCGCAGGCTGGCCACAGAACGGAGGTGTGTGTGTGCACACAAGTCTGAGCAAAAAAGGCGAGCCCTGCGCATGCTCAGACTGCACAGCGCTCAGTGCTGCACAGAGCATGCCCAGGAGGCAGCCTGGAAGGCGTCCCACGCATGCTCGAGGATGCACGGCGCTCACTCTGTGTGGCGCATGCTCAGAGCGCACAGCACCCAGAGCCGCGCCGCACCGCACCTGCGCAGGACGCGCGGCGCTCAGTGATGCATAGACATAGACTTTGGTGCTGCACTACGCACGCTCGGGCGGCCCAGCGCTCAGGATGCAGAGCCTGGTGTGGAACTGCACATGCTCAGGGTGCTTGGCTCGTTGCTCACATGATGCTGCAGGACCTCCACTACAGACATGCTGGCCTTCCGCAAAGCTCAGGTTCTCAGTTAAATGTAGCAAGTGTCCCTCTTCCCCTTCCTCTTTGGCCTGAGAAGGTTGCCATAACTGTCATCTTGCTTTTTTGGACATGGTTGGATTTTCACAAAATGAAGTCCACTCCCAGCCACATGGGCACTGGTTCCAGCCCCCGCCCCAGGTCCCTGTCCCTCCGAGCCTCCCACCCCAGCCTCACTGTACCCCAGACCCCAGCCAGCTTTCCCACAGCACTACCCAAGGGTCAGAAGACCCTGGGGGTGGGGAGAGACTGGGGGATGGAGTAGCTCTGGAAAGCCACAGGTGCAATTCTTGTAAAAGCTGATGAGCACAGTTCATCCACCAGAAGGGGGAAGCCAGCCCGGTGCCCCTGCCCTCCCCTGCCCTCTCAGGTGACCTTGGGCAAGCAGTCACACCCTCCCTGCTCCCTCTCACTGCACAGCCACCAAAGGTATCAGTTAGTTCTAGGCTTTAAGGAATCTTGACCCAAGCTCTGCATTGACACCCAGCATCATGTACGTAAATGGTGGGTGCTACACCATCACATACACCAGTGATTATCTTCCTGTATTCCAGGACTGAGACTTGTGGCAGGTGGCAGAAAGTCTGGGCAGGGAACTTCAAGGTTGTGGTCATTACAACCTAGTAGTGAAGCAGGAGAGAGAGGGCCTCTGGGCAGCAGTGAACCCGTCAGAGATCTATCTCAAGCCCCATTGGGAAACCCATCCATGTGCAGCAGGACCGAAGTTGCTCTAAATCCTCACCATAGTGTTCAGGGGACCCAGCTTGGGGTGCCTCATCTTGTCTCTCTCCTTCTCACTCTGGCTTGCTTGCTCACTTGCTCGCTTGTTTGCTCGCTCTCTGCATGTTCCTTTTCAGCTGCCAGGTCTCCTCTCTGACTTGTGAGTCCTTTCTGTCAATGTTACAAGTTGGACAGAAGTTATCCCACTCTGCAAGTGATGGTGCTCTTTGGTTGCTGTTGCTTTTTGCTGTTTTTACTGGGGTTTCTAGTTTCTAGTTTCTAACTCCATATTGACATAATAATCCTCCTTACCTGCTATAATCTGTCATTGAAACATGCTTAGAAATGTTTTCAGCTTATTTTGTGCTCATGTTTTAATTAGTGCTAGGAAGCTGCCAGGTGTGATGACCAATAACAGGGACTAGAATAGTAGCAGTACAGAGAAGGACACACCCCCACAGGAGAGAACACACACCCATAATAGGACTCACACCTGCCACAGGAGGACACACCCACCACAGGACACACCCACTGCAGGAGGGAGGACACACCCACAAAGGGTACACCTACCACAGGAGGACATGCCCACAGGAGGGCGCATCTACTACAGGAGGACACACTCACCACTGAAGGACCACAGGGCACACCCACCACAAGAGAGGACACACCCACAGGAGAGGTGATGTGCCCTGTGGTGTTCCATGAAGGGTGTGTCCTTCTCTGTACTGCTACTACTCTAATCCTTGTCATTGGTCATCACACCTGGCAGCTTCCTAGCACTTTAAAATGTCAACACGTGCGGGAGACAGGCTGTCCGCAGTGCGGCACACACCCCTCTGTGCTTCCCTCCACAGCGAGGTGGCAAGTCTTTCTACTCCTACTTTACACAAAAGACCAGTCTGGGCTCAAACTCAAAGCAAAGCATGGACAGGGGATGGGATGGTGCTTTAGACAACATGTACTTTCTTGGTAAGATGAGATTGTAGGAAGAGCTGGGCTCACGGCACTTCTCTGGGGTAGCTAACCCTCCTTTGTTTCTGCCGTCTTACTGCAACAGTTCTGTGGAAGAAGATCATTCAGCACAAAGGGGGAGTCCTTAGCAAAGGCCTGAATATCAGTTGCCTAGCGAAGGTCACTGATGGCTTCACCCAAGGGCATATAGTGGAAGTGGTCAAAAATGTGCTCACCGACCGCAGAATCCGGCAGCAAAGCCGTAAGCCACTGACCGCGGTGGAGTTCATCACCGCCATGGCCACCATGAACCCGGTGTACAAAGAGGAAGAGGAGAGCTTTAAGGTAAACGGGACACTGGAGGGGCAAATCCTGGCCACAGACACTCCCTCCCCCTAGATTCCTGTGCTTCATGAATTTGAACTCAGACACATACGATGAATTTTGGCAAGCAGGCCATTTTTTAATCAAAATCTTTTAAGCCTCAGCAATAAAGCGTACATCTTCCAAATTTTAGAAAAACCATAGCCCATGACCTTATAAATTGACAGCCAAATGGAAGAATTAAATGGCTTTGAAGTAGCAATCTCTCTCTCCTTCCCTTCCTCCCTCCCTCCTTCCCTCTCACTTTCTCCCTCCCTTACCACCTTTCCTCACACACACATTTACCTTGGTCTTCTCTTCATGAAGGAACAAGATTTTCATATATTGAAGAAGGTCAGGAGCGTAAATACTCCTAAATAGTTTAGCCTATGCTCATGCTACTGCTATTTGGCACCGTATTTGCCACAAAACAATTCACTTGTCAGTTTTCTGTGTCCTTGTACTGGAAAACTACACGGGAGCTCAGAGAAACCTGCTGCATCTACTCTTGAGCACACTCTGGAACAGTCACAAAATGTTTTAGATCTAGAGGAGACTCGGAGATCCGTCTTCCAGCTCCCTCTTCAATAGGAGGACACTAAGGAGCTGTGAGTTTCATGCTTTGTCTATTTGTGTGGCTAGTCCAAGGCACGGTCCAGGGTGGAGCCCACCTCTCAGCCCCAGGCCAGCAGGTGCTCCTCCAATGCCGCTTGCTCTCTTTCCATACCGGGGGGGGGGGGTTCCTTTGGCAAACTGGAAACTCAAGGGAGAAAACCAACACCCATGCAGTTGAAGGTCAGCATAATATTGGTCACTCCTGTCCCCAGCTGACAATTCTCTCCAGTTGTTACCTCTCAGAGCCCACTCAACATCAGGAACTGTCCCTTCTCAATGTGTCGCTTTTCCACTCTTCTCCTAATTCTTCAGTGAAAGGTGAGAAATGGTCATAAGAATCCCAGTAAGGATAGCCTATGGTCAGTGACTGTTTTCTGCAAAGGCCCTGATGCCAGACACCTCAGGCTCTGAGACCCATGCAGCCTTTGCCTTAGCTATTCAACGTATCCTTACACAGTATGTAAATGAGTGCTTGTGGTTTGGTTCCAATAAAACTTTGTTTGCAAACACAGATAACAGGAGAGGTCTGGCCCATCGGCCATATTTTTCTCAACCCAGCTCTAATTAAACTGAAGAGAAAAATAAAAAATAAGGAAGAAAACATTTTCAACTCCAACCAAGTGTCTGCCAAGTGTTGGAATGAATATTCTGTTTAATTAGTATTTAGTATCCTGTTCAATTTTTGGCTTAAGACTGTGTTTGTAATGATTGCAAATATTTATCCTCTTATGGTCATGGATCATATTATTTTCTGAAATTCTCCATTGTTTCCTCTCTTTTTTTTGCCAATTGTGGGGCTTAAAATCTGGGCCTGGGCACTGTCCCTCAGCTCTTCAGCTCAAGGCAAGCACTCTACCACTTGAGCCACAGCACCAATTCCAGCTTTTTCTGCTTATGTGATGCTGAGGAATCGAACCCAGGTCCTCATGCATGCAAGGCAAGCACTCTACCACTGAGCCACCTTCTCAGCCCCTATTTTCTCTTTTCTAAACTACTGCTTTTCCACCTGATTTCGAGGAAATAGATTTAGGGTATTAAAATCTCAGTATGGGTTTTTAACATTCTGAGGGACCTCAGGGAGTTTCTCTACCTGTGACAGGTATTTGAGGGCTGTGTCTACTGCTCAAGAAGAGGAGCTGTTACCCTGGAATGAGAATACACACACTCTTTATACACACTCCTTGAAGATTGCATCACTCACTTCATTTCTCAAAGACATGCAGCCATCCCCTACCACTGCTGTATATGTTGAATAGATTTGTTAAGTGATACATTTTTGGAACAGACCAATCAATGAAAAATTGTCATCAAATTCCTGAATTATTTGAGCCCTATGCACTATGATAATTGCTTGTAATTAACCCCATTTACTCCAAAAAAATGTTACCCTATTCCATGCATGGCATGAAGAAAATATCGAGTAATCATAATTCTCATAGCCCTCCCAACCCTGTTTTGCAAGTAAGGAGCTTGAGCTGGAGAGAGGTAGAAGAGGCATAACAGTGGCCCCTCAAAGATGTCCACCTCCTAGTCCCTGCAAGGATCCTGGTACTATGTCACCTGGTGTGGCAGAGGTGGGGTGAGCGTGCTGCTCTCCTGGCCTTGAGCCAGGCAGACTATCCTGGGTTGCCCTGGTGAAGACCTTTAGAAACAATTGCAGAACTGCTAGAGAAGGACAAATGAGAGTGAAAGAGACAAAGCAAAGTTTTACACTCAAAATGAATGTGAAAAATCAGAACGTTGAAACATTTTCAGAAATCTAATATTAAGTACAAGTAGACAGAATGTTTAAGTGAGTGTAATTAAGGCTTTCAAGAAATTAAGTGAAAACATGGCTTCTATCAGAAATGTACAGTGTTTTAAACAAAGGCACAGAAACACTGAATAATAAACATTACGGTAGTTAACATTCAATGGAAATAAGTGAGAATAATGAGCTCTAGAAAGACATGTCCAGAGAGCACACCAGTGGACTAAAGGGCAGTCTTGGGCATTCCCTTAGAAAACCATACAGGAAAACAGAAAACCCAGCACCCCAGAACACAGGCTGAAGACAATAGTATTCAACTAACAGATGGTCTAGACAGAATAAATTAAAAAGAAAAACTAGAAGAACAATTAGTTGATGAAATGCATGCTAGAATTTTCCTGAGGTAAAACATTAAAAATAAATCCATATCCAGGTCTATGACTAGAAATCATAAGATGAACAAGCTTAGAAGCTCCCAGATTACATGCAAACAAACAGCAGCCAGACAATCAGCCATCTTTTTGACAGCAATGGATGCCAGAAGACAGTGGAATTGTACCTAGAAAGTGCTGAGGAAACATAACTACCCACATAATATTTATATCCAGCTAAACTAACACCCAGAAGACCAGAGAAAGCAAATGATCCACACTTTAAAAAGCAACTTGACCAGGTCAAGTTAGACTGAAGATGCTCATATTCCATAACCTCTCATATTCCATAACATCGTGAGTGGCAGCATGGTTCACAACAAATAAGAAATTGAAAATTCCCTGTATGTCCACTGAAAAATGACATAGTGTGATCATTTTGTGAAATACGGTAACTGTAGAGTTCATAAAGCAAAATGCTTCTCAGGTTTCAAACAGCCATGGCTGGAGATGGTCCCAGCCACTCAGTCCTTCACTGCTGTTTTGGCTCCACTTTTCTGCCACATTTTTCAGTCCTTCTCGGAGGCTGGGAATGGTTCCTGTGGCCTCACCTGGCCACCAGTGAAACCTCTAGTGGCCACAGGTGGCCCAAGGGCTGGTCACATTTCCAAGAAAATGCACATCTTCGGGACATAGCAATGTGCCAAGGAAGCAGAGGTCTTGATCCAGGTGATTCTCTGTGATTCTCTGAAATGACAAAGTCCTTGGGTAAAGTGTCGGGTCACACAGAAATCTAGACTAGGAAATCCGGGAAGAAGAGTTCATGTTCAATGTATTGCCCAAAGGGTAAGGGCTGCCGGCTGCCGCCTCCTAGCAGGCTGGTCTTAGTCTTGGTCACTTTTGATTTTTTTTTTCCCAACTATGTCTTTTGTTTCAGAACTGGTATGCAAAGACCCCCCTGGGGAAGAGACGCCTCTCCGCATTAAACTTGGGTGGCAAAGAGAAGGAGAGGGCTAAAGGGAAAAAGAAAGGAAAAAAGGAGAAAAAGAAGAAGTAGCGCCTTTCTGAGACACCACCTTGGAGACTCTCTGGAATGGTGAGGCCCAGCTCTCCACTGCCCACCTGAGAAGCTTTGGAATGAGCAGCCGCATACAGATGCCCCCTGCTCTCCCACCATTGCATCTACTCTGTTCCATTCCAGGAGGCTGGATACCAAGCCACATGCCCATAGCAATCGCTTCCCCTGCTTGATTGTTCCTTAATTTACGTAAGGTTTGTCTATAACTGAGATTCACTGTTTTACACACCCACACCCCACACTCTTTTCGAGTTAGACACTCATCAGTACTAGTGTCAAATTTAGAACCTATAGAAAATATTCTCATTTGACAACTAGTAAGCCGTGAGTCTGTCCTCAGGTCTCCACACTGTATATTATCTTGCAAATGTTTTAACAAATTAATTCCCTGCCCTAGTAAGATTTGTTATATAATGGAATAAAGCTGTTGTCCTTGAACCGGCCCAGTGATTGGATGGCTGGGGCTAAACAAGATCCTAGCAGTGAAATCTTTCTCTTTTTTTTCCTTTTTTTCTTTTTCTTTTTTGTCAGTCGTGGAGCTTGAACTCTGGGCCTGGGCACTGTCCCTCAACTCTTCAGCACAAGGTAGCACTCTACCATTTGAGCCACAGCGCCACTTGCGGTTTTCTGGTCTCATAGACTTTCCTATTCGGGCTGGCTTTGAACCTTGACCCTCAGATCTCAACCTTCTGGGTAGCTAGGATTACAGGCATGAGCCACTGGCGCCCTGCTCAGTGAACTCTTTCACTAACTCTTTCCTAATGTTGATGCCAAAGCTCAAGAAGTCCAGGGGCCCACCAGTTCATGTGTGGAACACTGGAAAGAGGTGATGGGAGTACCCAGTCACTAGTTGGACTAGCACCCAACCCACTTCCTGCCCCGTGAAGCCCTCAGCTATGGGCAGGCCAAAGACCCTATGAAAACCACAATATAAAGATGGATTCAATGTGCCAGCACCAGTGGCTCACACCTGTAATCCTAGCTACTAAGGAGGCTGAGATCTGAGGATCACAGTTGAAGCCAATCTAAGCAGAAAAGTCCAGGAGACTTTATCTCCAATTAATAACACAGGAGCACAAAAGCTCAGGAACAGTGCCAAGGCCCTGATTTCAAGCCCCAGGACTGGCAAAACAAAAATGGGCTTAATGCAAAGGATAGAAAGCTCAAATGAGGGGCTGGGAAGGTGGCTCAGTGGTAGAGCGCTTGCCTTGCATGCCTGAGGCCCTGGGTTCGATTCCTCAGCACCACATAAGCAAAAAGAAAAAAGCTGGAAGTGGCGCTGTGGCTCAAGTGGTAGAGCGCTAGCCTTGAGCTGAAGAGTTGAGGGACAGCGCCCAGGCCCAGAGTTCAGGCCCCACGCCCGGACCCAAAAAAAAAGCTCAATTGAATTGAAAATATTTAGAAAGACATTGGATGCTGATGACTCACACCTGTAATCCTAGTTACTCAGGAGGCTGCGGTCTGAATGTCAAGATCCAAAGCCAGCCTGGGCAGGAAAGTTCATGAGACTCTTTTTCTTTTTGTTGGGGGGGGAGGGGGAGTCCGGTCATGGGGCCTGAACTCTGGGCCTGGGCGCTGTCCCTCAGCTCTTCAGCTCAAGGCTAGCACTCTACCACTTGAACCACAGCGCCACATCTGGCTTTTTTCTTTTTGCTTATGTGGTACTGAGGAATCGAACCCAGGGCCTCAGGCATGCAAGGCAAGCGCTCTACCACTGAGCCACCTTCCCAGCCCTCATGAGACTCTTATCTCCAATGAACCATCAGAAAACCAGAAGTGGCGCTATGGTGCCCAGAGATCAAGCTCCAGAGCCGGCACCAAAGGGGAAAAAAATGGGTCTTCTACTGTATTGTTTACAAAATAGTGACCAGAAAAAGTCTGTACACCTTCAGATGCAACTTTGCATCCAAGCTGGACGTGTGCCTGCAGAAGCTGGGGCGTGCGAGGTGGTCCTCCTGGCCCGTGTGGCCTCGAGGTGTTTCCACGGACTGTCTGCCTCACCACGGAACCCCCAGGGCTGCAGGCTCCCAGTCTCAGCCCTCACTTCAGACCTGAGAGACCGCCCCGCTCCCCAGTCACCACCTCAAAGACAGTCACACCTTCAGAGTGGCTCTACCAGCTCCTAACCCATAGCCAGGCAGCAGGCGGGCTCGCTGAGGCTGTAGGACCTGTCCGTCTCCATTGTAAGGAATGAGAATGACTCCCTTCCTCCTGGTCCAGGGCTGCAGTGGCTTTAGAGCAACTGTCAGGATGGCCTCCTCTCCCACTCTCGTTTCCCAGTGTGCTCATCTGACGGTCCCCCACAGCTCCTTCCTGCCTTCCTGTGAGCCTACCACGGGAGCCCCGTCTGAAACACTGAAGCCCATTATAAGTACAGCTCCAGGTGACAAGGATGGTGACTGCTCTCCCATGGTACTCTGGGGCAGGCAGGGGCCAGCCGCTGCATCCAGCGGCCCCCCCTCTGACGTCGCTGCAGACGCAGAGTGTGCTGCCCCACAGCCTAGCCCACGCCAGCGTTCACATCTCAGCCTCCTGAGATGTGTGCACACAGGTGTGTGCACTCACACAGGCACGCTGCACCATGTTACAGTGTGTAACAGACCCCATCCGCTGCATCACCGCCTTGCACTTCTCACCTGACACCACCAAAGGCGTTCTTCCAGAACAGCACACCCAGATTGGCCTCGGTTTTAATTTCATGCACAGACCCTACTTGATGGATATCCCGTCACCAGTTTCCCCAGTCCACTCCTAGGCAGACTTTAGATATCTCTCTCAGAGGCAGGCCCAAAAACATTGAGTAGGATCAATCACCAGAAGAGAAATTTCTGGGCCAAGTGCCCTGCGCACTTTGTACTCGGATTCCAGTGTGCCCTTCCCCTGTCCAGCCTCGCGCCTCCAGTCCCTGGGAAATGTCAGAGTGCTTACCAAACTCGGTGAGCCTGAGCTATTCCTGGGCTATCGTGGCAAATAGCAACTCTTGAGCATGTTCTTAAGTGAAGGGGACAGTAATTAATGTCATTGACACTCATTAAGGGAACATTGTATGGAATGGAATCAGATTAGAGAGGAATTAGAGGTTTCGGTGGCTGCACATCTGGCCTGTGCTTAGAAACCAGTGGGTCCTGAGTTCCGATCCCTTGCCTGACATCATGGCAGCCTTCACAAAATGCTCGAGACTGTTGGGGCTTCCACAGGCTCCTCTGCTCAGAGGCAGCGAGTTTAAAACCCTCTCTTGAGGCTCAAGCAGGCTTTGTGGAGGGAAGGTCCCAAGGCTATTGTACAAGGACGATGCTATTTTAAACCATTCACGACTCTCTGGAACCCTAGCTACAGAGAGAGACAAGAGGCTCCTAATATTCCTGAATATCCTAAGATTCTAATTTCATGGAGCCTGGGATGGTGCTAACCAAAGCAAGGAAAACAAGGATGGATTGTGGGCTGACACTATGCAGGCAGCCACCAGGAAATCTAAGAAACCCTGGTCAGAAATCCGCTTTCTTAAAGCACTTGTCTTTCACCATCGTGGCCCATGAACAATTCTACTGTGTAGAGCTCACAGATGCCTGCTGCCCAGCTGTCTGTGGTACCTGTTCCCCGCCTTTCCAGGAACTCCGCCTTTCCAGGAACTTGTAAGCGTCAGGCACCAAGCTAGGGGGCTCCAGACACAAAAGTGAATTGCTTTGCAGTCTAGATTTCAAGGAGCTTTGTTAACAGGAAATGGAGATGTGACTCAAGCAGTAGAACACCAGCCTTGAGCAAAAAGCCAAGTAAGACTGTGATGCCCTGAGTTCAAGCCCCAGTGTGCAGCGTGCACATATGCGCACGCACACACATACATACGCAGACATTAGTAAAATGATCTTTTACAAGTTGCAAAGTCAGATCTGGCATGCGGGTCCTGAACCCAGCCTGAGGAATCATACTTCCCCGTCTTTGTCCAGGCAAGGGGACAGAGAATGGAGATTCTGCGGATGTGGCCGGTCGGTCCCACGGCTCAGCTCTTCTTCGTGGCTGGACTTCTTGCCTCTGTAATCACCGAGGAACATGTATTTCAGGTCCCTAGTGGGTAGGATGCAGCCCAGGAAAGTTTGTTTTCTCATGAATGTCCAGTGTGGGCCTTTCTTACAGGGGTGGGGAGGGGGAGCTTTGGGGGAGCAAGAATCCAGGAGAGTGGGAGAAGTGACAGCTTCTTGCTGCACCCTGGTTTTGTGGTCGGAAGACTGAGCATTACCCAGCAATTAACCCAGCTTCTCAACCCGGCTAAACAAAACCACCTCCCTCTTCCTGTGAGCCACGGATCAAGGATGAAGCCCTTTCAAGTCTGCAGCCAAGTTTTAAAATATGTTTATTGTTATTATAAAGGTGATGTGCAGAGGGGTGACAGTTTGTTAAGGCAGGCAGAGACTGCCTTTCTCCTTGGACAGTGTCACCTCAGGCCTCTCTCTGTCCCAGTTTTTCCCTCCCGTCCCTGCTCACAAGTTGTATAGTGCACTTTCCACACAGAGCCCGGTGTGGCCAAGTCTTGTGTCGTGGAGCGGGGCTGCCATGGACCCAAACACAGATTCCCGTCCTAGCTGAGTCCACTGTGCACACACACTGTGCTGTTGTGTTGTTCTGCCTCATTTTCCCCTGTAGTTCAGGAATCAAGCCCAGAGCCTGGCGTGTGCCGGGCAGCAGTCCCGCCCTCACTCGGGGCCCCAGTGGGCTGGCTGCGCCTCGCTCGGCCATTCGCTGTACAGTTATCATCACCTGAACAACAAAATCAGGCCCTGCCCAGCCGAGCAGAGGCCACGGCAAGGTCTCTGCATGCGGGGATGCAGCTGCCGGTGCTGGGTGGGGCAGGGCAGCTCTCTGCCCCTCGGGCGGGGGGGGGGGGGGGGGGGGGAAGTCCCGGGGGGGGGGTGCAGTGTGCCACTGTGTGCTTGTCCTGGAAGGCTCGCTCCACCTCTGCAGGCCTGGCCCAGCCCGCAGCCTGCCCTGCGAAGTATACGAGGCCAGGAACACACACACACACCTACATATACCCCACAAACCACACACCCATACAGATACGCATATTCACAAACAGTGCACACCACATACATATAACTACAGACACATGTATGCACATATGGGTAAAAGAAGCACAGATACACCCATCTCAGGCATGCGTACACATACACACACTGCACATATGCAGGTTCATAGCTACACAGCAGCAAACATGCACACACATGGATCCCGTGGTCCGGAGCCGCCACTTCCTCTGTGGACAGATGGTAGATGCGGTGGCCGCGTGACATCTGGGGACTGCAGTGCATGTGGAGACACAAGGGCAGGTGCTCAGAGCCTGCTGACCGTGCAACATTAAAACACCCTCTTCCTGCGCCCGTGAGTCAGCAGACACCCCCACTGCAGCAGGAAAAGCTGACGCAGACCCACAGACCTGGCTGCCCCGGGACAGACGAGGTGGAGGAGGGACAATGCCCCCCAGGGACACCGTGGACAGAGGCCCCAGGGAGGACATCTCCACCCACAGGAGGGGCTCCCAGAAGCACCAGTCTAAATGGGAGGAAGAGGTAAGGACAGAACTTGGGGAGGCCAGAGGCCAGTCCTGGGGGCTCCAGAAAGCCGTGTTTCCTTCTCATCCATGAAAAACCAGAGAGGACTCCACAAAAACCCTTCTAGCTTGACCAGGCACCAAAACATTCCAAAGGCACGAGAGTTTCATCCACGACAGTGACCTCACGTTTGTGGCAATCGCCTGGGCTTTTTGTACCAGGCAGTGGCACATACAGCCAATGACAGAGTGCCAAGGTTTCTGTCCTGAGAGAAGCGAGAAGACCCAACAGCCATGAACAAATGGTACTGGAAGTTCTTAATGTCGCTTAGGATCCATTTCTCCTCTAGACATGCAGCGCTTTTTCTCACCTCCTGTTAAGAATTCTGCATCTAGTTTCAGATCGTGAAGTTGCCAGTATCTTACGAAAGTCTTTTATTTGACCTGTCCCCTTTACATCTACCCCATTCACCTGCAATTGATGATGCTGGCCTTGAACCACCATCCTCCAGACCTCAAACCTCCCGAGTAGCTGAGTCACTGACACCACTCTGACATTTCTTTGGGGATTGGCTTGCTTCAGTGAATGTATCCCTCTATGGGAATAATCCCAGGTTATGTGTGTGTCCGTGCTCCCCTGCTTTTTACTGCACTGCTTGGTGTTCCATTGCATGGCTATACCAAAGTTTATTCAATCATTTGCTTAACGAAGATAGGTGATTGATTTCAGTTGTTAACTATTAAAAATAAAGCTGTGCACTGGAAAGGTGGCTCGGTGGTAGAGTGCTTGCCTTGCATGCATGAGGCCCTGGATTTGATTCCTCAGCACCACATAAACAGAAAAGGCTGGAAGTGGCGCTGTGGCTCAAGCGGTAGAGCGCTAGCCTTGAGCTGAAGAGCTGAGGGACAGCGCCCAGGCCCAGAGTTCAGACCCCACGACAGACAAAAACAAAATTAATAAATAAAGCTGTAACAAGCATTGTATTCAAATTATGTGAACATAATTTTCCAGTGACACCCGGGGTTACATGCCCACGAGTGTAGATACACACAGCTCCAGCCGTGGTCTCCCCAGCCCAGCGTGCCACTGCACGCTTCCACCAGCCATGCATGGGTGGAGGAGTTTCTGTGCTCGGCACTTCAATGCGTGGCACGCTTGATATTTTTATTGTAATTTTCCTAATAATTGTATAACAATTGGCTTTTGAGATTTTTTCTCATGTTTCATTTTTATTTATAGTCTTTTCCTTGAAGGATTTATATAAACTTGGCATTATATGTTCTTTAAAGGACATGTAGCTGGGGTTTATTGCTAGAAAGGATACTAATTTTCTATTTAATTTATTTTTTTTGGTGGGGGGGGTGGGTCTGGTCGTGGGGCCTGAACTCTGGGCCTGGGCGCTGTCCCTCAGCTCTTCAGCTCAAGGCTAGTGCTCTACCACTTAAGCCACAGCACCACTTCTGGCTTTTTTTTTCTGCTTATGTGGTGCTGAGGAATCGAACCCAGGGCCACAGGCATGAAAGGCAAGCGCTCTACCACTGAGCCACCTTCCCAGCCCTGATTTCTTTATTTTTATTTAAGGGGGAGTACAAAGGAGTTGTCATTCCACAGAGCAGCTTATGAATACAGCGCATCTTAAACAAGGTCACCCTTTAACATTCTCATTTAACATTCCCATCATTCCTAGCAACTCGCCCCTTCCGTCACTTTTCTTGATTTGAAAAGATACCCATTAACTTTTTTACTCCATTCTCCCCATCTTCTTCTCCTCATTCGTCTACCTCCAATGTAATGTCTTAATGCATGATCAAATTTCAAGTTTTGGGCTGGGCATAATGGCTCACATTTATAATCCTAGCTACTCAGGAGCCTGAGGTCAGGAGGGTCATGGTTTGAGACCAGTCTAAACAAAAATCTTTGCTAGCTTTCAACCACTAACAAGCTGTCCAGAGTGGGCCAGGCCTGTCATCTTGGCTGTGCAGGAGAACCGAGGTCCAGGCTGGCCAGAGCATAAATGTGAGACTCTATTAGAAAATTAAATGTAAAAAAAGGACGGGTACAGCTCAAGCAGTGGAGCACCTGACCAGCCAGGTCTTCACCTCACACCTCAGTACTGAGAAGTAATCAGATTCTCTATTTCTTCTAGTGTCAGTTTTGGTATTTTTTTCCAAATTTTTTATTGTGATTAAGTGGTTACATATTTCTCCAAATTTCACAGTATTGTGGGATAGTGATGCTTAATTAAAGTCACAAATACATTCTAACTTTCATGGAGCAAATTGTCTATCACAGTCTATAACATTTATGAGTTCTATGAGCTTTGCGATACAGTTATTTCTTCCACACTGGGTGGTATGTACATTTCTTTTGTTTTGCATAGCATCAGCTGTTCCCTCTTTCCCACTTGTTCCCTCCTTCCCATCGCTGCTATTGAGTTGCTTAGTTCATTTTGGTCAATGTCCAGTGCAGCTGATGGGCCCTGCTGTTGTATGTTTTTCCCTGATTCCCTCTAGTTCTGTGTCGTCCTCCTGGTTTCCCTCCAGTGTGCACATATATACCATATATGTGATCATCATCATGGGGTTATTTAGTAGTGGTTTGACCAGATGAGTGGAAATCTTTTGTTTCTTAAGTCCTGTTAATTTTGTCATATCACCTAACATTTTGGATTTAACATCCACTTATCAGGGAGACCATGTGCCATTTGTCTCTTGCACTTGGCTTTTGGTATTATTTTTTAAAAACATCTATTTCATCTAGATTTCACAACATCCTCTTCTCGTTTATACCTTCTGGAGAGCCGACTGGCGTCCTGTGCTTCATTCCGGAGCTCAGCCACTGTGCTGCTCTCGTTTCTTCATTGGCTTCAACAAAGCTTTATCTTCTTAAAGAAAATTTTCGAAGAGCCAGCTTTTAGATTTGATTGTTGTCTCAGTTATCATTTTTTATTACTTCTTTTTGTTTTTTGGCTTTCATTCTATCTATATTTGGGAAGGGGGGATCTTTGTGTGTGTGTGTGTATGTGTGTGTGTGTGTGTGTGTGTGTGCTGGTCCTGAGGCTTACAATCAGGGCCTGGTCATTGTTCTTGAGCCTTTGTGCGCAAGGCCCAGTGCTCTACCAGTTCAAACCATTTACAGCGTTTTGGGGGTTCATTGGAGATACTTTTCAGAATTCCCTGCTAGAGCTGGCCTTGAATCTCAGTCCTCAGATTTTAGCCTCTTGAGTAGCTAGGATTACAGGTGTGAGCCACCAGCGCCCAGCAATTTGGTCTAGTTCTTATTTCCAGAGAATAGAAAGCTGCTGATTTTGATTCTTCTTTTCAGTATACATACAGAGGCGTATGCATTTTCCTCTGAAAATCTACCCCGATGAAGACTAAGGAAAGCACATTCTGAGCAGAAACTGCAGTCCTGCTAAGGTATTCGGAGCACCCACGTATTCACGTAGAATTGGAAAGGGCGTATGCCGCAGTCAGCAGATCTCTGCAGAGTGGATTACGAAAGGTTATTTTCACTTTTTGATTTTTGTTAGGCTCATTCTGTTTGGCATTTGCCACATTTGCAATTGGAATCAAATACTTATGCTTTATAATGTATGATACCTGAGTGTAAATTAAGAGAAATGAGACCACAAACCAAAAATGGAGGCTTGGGCCACCATGATGCTATATGTGGAAGCAAGGGAGGGTGGCATGTGGATTTTCAGCTACAAGTTTAACAGATAGCAGAGAGAAGACGCGGCAGTAGCTCAGTCCTGTTGTCCGTCATCACTTTCATTTTGGTACTAAAATCTTACCTCAGTAAATCCTTGAGCAGCACAGCTGTGATCCCTAAAAGTGATGCAACAATCGTGCCGGCTCCAGGGGCTCACACTGTGAATCTCAGCTACTCAGGAGGCTGAGATCGGAGGACTGTGATTTAAAAGCAGCCTGGGCAGGACAGTCTACGAGACTCTTACCTCCAATTAACCAGCAGAAAGCCAGAAGTGGAGCTGTGCTCCCAATGGTGGAGTGCTAGCCTTGGCGGGAGGGGGGAGGGGCAGGAAGCTTAAGGACAGTGCTCAGGCCCTGAGTCCAAACCTTTGGACAGGCACACTACCTACCTACCTACATACATACATACATACCTACCTACCTACACACATACACACATACACACATACATATATACATACATACCTTTTGCTGCACAATGGAAGTGTAAGTTTTAAGAAAGCAACTGATGACAAAAATCATCGATGATCAATGACCTAGGAGGTAAAGGAGCATGACCCCTAAAACAGCCATAGAATGGAAATACTGGAAGACAAGGAACGAGAGAAAATGTGGCCCCGGGACCCCTCCTCCTCCATCTTCAGTCACCAGCAGCTGCATTGCAGGCTTGAGTGTCAAGTCAGAGCTCAGAGATCAGATCCAGTGCACGTCCACCCTGACACACACACACACACACACACACACACACACAGAGGCATGCACGCACGCACATGCACACTGCTGCCCAAATGCGCAGTCCAGCTGGCCTGGCCTGTCACTGACCTGTTAGTCACTGGGCCATTCTAACTCTGAGCCCAGGATGCCCTCTGCTCACTTCACCCCTACCACAGCTGCCCTCAGATTCCAGGCCTCTAGGAGATTGGAGCACACTGGGTACAGACCAGAGTGTCAGGCAGGATCTGGAGACATGGGACCTGAATAATGTAGGAGAGAGGCAGGTCAGTCCAGGCTCTCCCTGGCTATGAAGGCCAGAAAGAAGGCCCAAAGGACACAGAGACCCTGACTCTACACAGACATCCACAGCCACAGGGCACCTGTGGAGCCCCTGGCCACTTCCAACACAGCCCCAGCTCAGGTCCCCACAGCCATCCACACAGTGAGAGGAAAGCTCCCTCCGGCTGCCAGCCCTGAGCTCCCAGGGTGCAGAGGGGCCGGGTGACCACTGGGTGGCCATCGGGCGGAGCCGTGCTTGGACAGGTCCCCACCCAGGATGGGGCCCACGCTGGGGACCTCACGGAAGGGCCCAGACTTCCCAAGACCCATTCCCATAGCTCATTGCCCCATGCATAAGTGAGGCTGGGGAGGGGGGGAGGAGAGAGATGCTGCCCTCCCTCCCGGAAGACAGCGTTGACGCGTAGTGGACACTAATTGATTCTGCCGCCACAACTTTCTCAATCTGCCAGTGTTCTACAACCGACCAAGCAGCGGATGGGGACATTACCTTTCTATAAAACAGTGAGCCCCGGACTTCAAAGTCTTCTCGAAAGTGCTTTTAATTACGTTCTCCCCAACAAGACATCGGAAATCGCCTCACGTTGCTTTTGTGTGTATTTCACTTAAGCACAATGCCCACATCCTGCCACATCAGTATTTCTCTTCACATCGTGGAACATAGGAGGACCTGACAACTGACTAGAGCAAATTATAATGCACCCAACCAGGCCCTTTTGTTACGCAGCCCTTCGATGGAGCTGCCCGCCTGGCCCTCTGAACGTGTGGGACCACTGGAGTTCATTTGAGAGCACTCTACCCCAAGTTGGTCTTGCAAATTATTTCTGCCCCTATGCAGAGTCTTTTTCCCTTCCTCTTGGCATCAAGGGACTTTGAATTGTGCATAACACATTCTCTTACACAGAACAGCCTCCTGCACCACCGGGATTAAATAATGCTTATATTAATGAGCTGATGAAACCACAGCCGCCAAGGTCCCATGCCTGCCCCTGCAGCAGGGTGGCGTTGAGTCCCGTAAGGAAGAACGTCAGGACGGCCAGGAGAATGGCCCTGTGGTCCTTAGCAGACTCCCTGTGAGCACGGAGGCAGCGGCTGGCCATGTTGAGCCTGGACCTGCCTTCTGTCTTGGCAAGAAATGGGACACGATGGATCTTTCAGAGGTCAACGAATGCTAACGGCAACTGGAGAATCTCTGCTGCCACTTCCTGGGCCTGGCTTCCTACACCCAGCAGCCAGCTCGCTGCTGGCCAGGCTGCTGCAGACCCTGCGCTCCGGGAAGGAGGCCCCACCTGTCCCCACCATCAGCTGATGGGCAGCACCCACGCCCGGGCGGTGCCAGGGAGTCAGCCACCCTCCCCTCATCTCCTCCAGTGCCCAGGCTGCTCCGTGCTCTCCTGGCAGGGCAAGCAGGGACCTGGAGGCTGTGAGCTCAAAGCCTGACTCCCCAGTGGGGATGGAGCCCTCACTCAGTCTTCCAGGAGCTTGGAGAGAGTTAGAGGAGGTGGTTTGAGGCCCACCTGCCCCGGGGTCCTCCGAAGGGGACACGGTCAACATCTGCATCACAGTGCCCTCAAGTGGACGTGTGCACGTACTGCTCTTCCCCACTGCCGGGAGGACCGGCTCTGGGACGGGTGCTGAGTGTCAGAAATCTCCTATTCTAAAGGCGAAGGTGATGGAGTCATCCCGGATAAGCACATTCATTCATTCAGAGGAAAACCAGCTAGATGACAAGCTCAAGGATCAAATGCTGGAGAAACATGTAACTCATGTCAGTGGTAGCCTTCTTGGGGGCCTCCCCCTCTCCCACACCCCTGACTATGTATGTGTTCTCCACGTGTCCATACCTGGAAGAAAGGGTGCTGTCTCTCTCAGGACCGTGGGAATCTGTGCCTGGACAGGGAGACAGGAGGACCAGAGGAAACACTCATTACACAGTGAGCATTCTTAGCGAGGCCCTGTCACGGGCCATGTCGCCCTCTCCACATCATCGAGAAGCCTGAAGATACCATCCAGAATAGAAGGGTCCCCTTGTAGGAGAGCTCCTTCAAGGAGTCCTCCAAACAGAGCTGCCTTGGAGCTGAAAGCTTCCATGGCTGGCTGCCGCTGCGTCCCTCCTCCCCTCCCAGGGGAGAATGCCCGGGGGGCCTGTGGGAAGAGGCAGCGCGGGGCAGAGCCTTCCCGAGGGGTGCTTCATGCACGGTGCTAACGGTCACATGCACAGCACCCCGCCAGAGCCCAGTGGACGCATCTGTCCCACTGTCTCCTCCCACGTCCTGAGCAGTCCAGGGTCTGGGCCACGTGTGCCCCCGCCTGTCCCGGCTGAATGCTCTGGACAGAAGGGCTGGCCTGCAGAGACAGGACTGACCTGATCCAGACCTCACTGCCCTGAGCTCCGGGGTGCCCTGAGCTCCGGGGTGCCCCCACCTTATCACAGGGCATGAGCTGTGAAGAGAACAGGAGGAAGTTCCGCAATGGGGAGGAGCAGAGCTCGCTGCAGCTCTGCTGGCGATTCACACGCAGGTGGTGTGAGCAAGAAAAGGCTAATGCCCGACAAGAAATGCACGGACTGCCTTACTCCTGCACCGGTAACCCCGCGGCACAGCATCTTTAGACAAAATAACATTTTAAAAAAGAAAGAAAGGGCTGCCAAGGGGTGAGATGCCAGCCAGCCAGGCAGGCTGCGAGCAGGGGGGTTTTCCAGGGGAGGGCAGAGGCGGTGTGCGCTCTTCATGGGAAAGGCGTCCACATGCCTTCCACAAGTCGAATGTGGCGGCACGCTAACCAGGCCAGGCCACAGCCACCTCTGGGGCACTTGAGTGGGGGGAACCGGGGACTGCAGAGTCCTCATGACTTCCGCTGGGGAGGGGGGCGGGGCGCAGGGGCCTCTGGCCAAGATGTGGAGGGAAAGCCAGGGGTCTGCTCCTGTCACCCAACACCAGGGACCCCGTTCCCTCTTCTTCCTCCCACTGAGCGTAAACCCCATGGTGTGTGATCCACGGCAGAGTGTTGTAGCACACGCTGAGGATGGCGTGAGCGTGGGAAGGCTGCAGGGGCTGCGCGGTGGCAAGGCGCGTTCTCCACCACTCTGCGGTGCGCGTGCCGCTCGCCAGCGCAGGCTCGTGGGGTTTAAGTTTCCCTTTGTGCTTCGGGTACAATGGTGTCTGTGTGTGTGTGTGTGTGTGCGCGTGTGTGTGTATGTGTGTGCACTTGCACATGGACATCTTTGTCTACACGTCCAACATCCACATGTACCTGAGTGTACAAGCCCGCCATGCCCTGCAAAATGTCTGGGGAGATGGCTCTGTGATGGGGGGCCACATGACAGGGGCCACGTGGGGACCTGGCTCCATGACGAGGGCCACGTGGGGACCTGGCTGCGTGGCGGGGATGTGGATCCCCAGGCCCCATGCGCCCCATGGTGAGGAAGCAGAGGCGCAGCGGTGGCAGGTGGTATGCCATGTGGTTGCCCGATGGGCAGATGGCCGTGCGGGCTGCCCGGCTCCAGGTCGGGGGATGAGGGGTCGTGGGTGAACCGCGGCCCTGCCTGCTGCCCTCTCTCCACCTGGCAGAAGAGCCACAGCCTGCTCCTGCTCTTATGTCCATCAAATTCCGAGTCTCTGATCCGTGTGTTCTCCATCAGCTCGCCTTGTGTCTCTGAATAGGAAGAGCGTCACGCGTGGATCACTGAGGACAGGACGATGTTGTGTTCGGCATCGGCAGGTGCTGCTCGCCCACTGCTCGCTGCCAGGCACAGAATGCAGGGGCCACGTGTCAGGGGCCACCTGTCAGACACCACGAGAGGGCCTGACCCAGCCTCAGCCAGCTCACTCATCGGCCCTCCTCCGAGGCCAGGCAGCAGGGCCAGAGGCGGCGGGAGAAAGACAGAAACGCAAAGACAAACAGCCACCAAACCAGACTGCCCTTTGTTCAGGTGTATCTTTCCCAGAACGCAGAGACACTACATTCCAGGAAGCCACTCTAACGAGTCATAGTCACCATGCTGTTGTAATTAGGCAAATAAGACATTTTTTTAAGAAGTTGAACACTTAGAGAGGCTTTGTTTTTTTTTTTTACCATGCAGGAAGCAAGTTATTGCTTGAATCTTTGGGGAGAGGGACAGGGATATAGAAAGAGATGCAAGTGTAAGTTTTCCTGAATAAAATTCTTGATTGTCTGGGAGAGAGAACGCCTTAGATGAGTGAGAAAGGAACATGGACCCATTGTAGTCAAAGTAAGCCGGAACAAAAGGCCAGAAAGAGGCCTAGCGAAGAAAGAAAGGCTAGCTCTGCGCAGACCTCGGTCTCTTTCTCTACCACAGAGCACCGCACCAGTCCACGCCTGAATCCTGATCGTCCGACTTTATGACGTCACCACTGCTTACTTTTTTTCTGTCATTTCAAAGTAGTCCAAACAAACATAGTTAGGACATCGCGTGTGTGCTTTCTGCCTTCCACATGGGGTGCTTGCTCCACGAGCACGAAGCCTGGTCTCTTGTTCACTGCTGCGTGAAGAAAAGATAGTTGGCTGAGCTTCCCAGTCAACCCACGCATGTCTGCCCCGCACTCCTGCCCCGCTCTCCAGCACAGACCACACGTGCACAGTACGCCTGCGGCTTCTTCTCAAGCTACGTGTCATCGCCACTACCCGGGCTCTCCCTTAGTCGCTCCAGTGCCGCACATCCAGGGCTGTCTGCTCATGCCCTCGGCTTCGCTGCCAGCCCTAGCGAGGGCCGGGTGGCCTCAAGGCCGCCACTTGCCAGAAAGGCGCCGTGCACACGCCTGCCACGTGATGACCCACACCGGGCACGCTGGACCGCTGGGGACGTCACTGCTGGGACATCTGCCCCCTCCCAGCCCGACGGGCCAGGCCCTGTCCCCACCTCCACACAGCCTCGTGTGCCACAGAGCACCGTGAGACCCGGACAGCCCCCGGCCAGCTCTGCAGACGGCTGCCACAGACACACACCTGTGTGTCAAACAGCGTCTTCCCCTTCCTTCCTCCAGCGCTGCCCCCTCCTCCTGTGCTCCCCTCATCCCGTGCTCCCCCCTCCTCCCATGTTCCCCTCCTCCTGTGCTCCCCCTCCTCCTGTGCTCCCCTCCTCCCGTCCTCCCCCTCCTCCTGTGCTCCCCTCCTCCCGTCCTCCCCCTCCTTCCGTGCTCCCCTTCCTCCGCTGCTCCCCTCCTCCCATGCTCCCCTCCTCCTGTGCTCCGTGGTTGGTTCCATCTAGCTTCCCAGCAACGCTCTGGCCTGGGGGCGGGCGCCCCCTGCCCCTGCCCAGTGGCCTTGGTGTCCCCAGGTGGTCAGAGGGTCACTGGGTGCCCTGCGCGGCCTCATTTGGCACTTGGAGATCTCAGGTGACACCTGGGCTTCTCATGGCTCTAGACACAGACGGCCACAGGGTCTTTGGCAACTCAAGGCTCCGCTGAGACCCAGCCACAGCCTAAGAATCACTCCAGCTCTCAGATGGCAGAACTTTCCAGAAGAGCTCTCGAGAGGCCGTTGAAATTCCACAGCCTTCTGATTGTTCTCCGCAGTGACTTCCCTCCTCCCCGGCCCCTCATCCCAGCACGGCAACCAGAATACATTTGAATGGCAAAATAATTTATGCTTAATTAGGGTGCTGGATTTAAAATTAGAAGTTGAAATGCATCATCACATGGATTGTTTAATCGCATTGTTTTGCCACTTGCTGGCTGCTCTCTGGAGATGCCTGGGACCTGGGGTCTTCTATTCCCAGAGTCCTCTCTCCTCCCCTGCCCATAAATCAGGTCAGATTAACCTTAAACACATACATACATGCACACACATGCGCACACACACACACACACACACACACACACACACACTTTGCTCATTTCACAAATTTTCCCCCAACAGAGCCAAGTGTTGAAGCACTGGGGGTTGAGCCCAGTGAGCGGCGCTGGGCCTCCGATCCACCACCCGTGCTCCTCCACAGCCACTCAGCCGCTCTCTTCCCTCCATCTGGACAAAAGCACTTTTCCCAGCTGGGTGTGGGGGTGCAGCCCTGCCATCCCACCACCCAGACCGCCTCCCCTCAAAAACTGTTCTTCCCTTCCCAAATTCTGCACGTTCCTGAAGACCCAAACCAAAAGCCTCCCCCCCCACCCAGCCTCCCCCCTCCACACTCCACCTGCCCCGCGCCCTCCCATGGAAG